GCTTGTTTGCTCAATAACCATGTTTGTAACCTGTTTGTATCCATCTGACAACAATTATTATGCAAACATGCTTCAAGCATAATTGACCCGCCCCCAACTGATTTGGCTCATTTTAATTCTAACGAAATACATTTTCGTTTCATAAGTTACCCACTGAGAGAGAACCAACATGGTAGAAATCTGTATACACTTTTTCTTTTGTTGTTCCAACATTGTGACTACTTGGTTACCAGTATTTGATAATGCTTATTTGTTGTTTGTATTTGTAGTGTTGTTTTTCCACTTTTTCGTTGAAAAAAGCAAAATGTTAAACGGAAGAGCCAACATGATTGTCACTATAGGAAATATACTCTCCAAGAAAGGAGACTGAAAACTGAACTGTTTTTATTTTTATTCTAAAAACGTGTTCTTAGCCTACTTGAACGATACGGCAGGTGTGAGGGGGTGAACAATGGCCGAGTAGTTGTACAAAGAAGAATGGAACGAGTCTACTGTCTAATAGCGACTAAGAGCAAGAGAGAATGAGCTAAGAGATCGAATCCCACATACGTCACCTGCCTCTTCCCATGAAAAATATTTCAAATTTTTATTGGTTCTTTGTCCTACTGCGTGGTTGTTTTAAGGACGCCACCTTATTGGTTGGTTAGAGTGGCGATGGAGAGATCTAAAGGTACTCTGGATAGCCTGGAAAGTGTTTTCAAGGCGTTTAGGAGGAAACAGTCGTTGGGTACCCCTGAACTGCCACGTGGAAAAATCGACGGTATCTTTGGAACTTTCAGATCCATTTCTAAATTTCGGAAGTGTTTGTGATAAGTTCTGATATCTCATTTTCTTGACGTTGCGAAGAATGAACCCAGCTCGTTTAAGAACTTGGCATACACTTGACCTTTTCTGAGTGAATGCACATTGAAATGGCAAGAAAAGTCATGAAGTTTCGCGACGTTGGAAACCTTCGAGTATGGAGGCTACTCATAGTCATATAGTTCTTTTTTATTTTGAGTCACTAGAGAGGTGTACTTGGAACCTGTATGTTGAACGGCCCTATTTAAGCGGTCTGCAGTCTTTGTTATAGAGCCATTTTTCGAGCTGCGGTTTTCTGTCTTTCGTCAGTTCCGGCCATATAACTTTGTCTTTAGGCAAATTAAGGTAACAAGCAAGCAGTTTGCAGATTCGATCTTTGTATAAATCGTCAATCAGCCGTTTTCCTATTCTTATTTACTCCTTTCACTTCTTTCAAGTGAGATTTTAAGTTAGTTGCAGAAATTTCTAGGAGTCCAAATCAGAATTTAAAGAATAAAAGGTTATGAAATTCTTAGGTGAAACAAAACATTCAAATACCGAAACTCTGAGGCCAACAAACAGCCGTAGACGAATTAACCTGAGATCAGGCCCAATTTTAGCGGTGAGTGTGTATAAAATGCGAGCCAGCGAGTCATGTGAGCCATGCAGTCCATTGAAGAATCATTGAAAAAAAACACCATAAAAATTAAAAAAAAGTAATACGGAAAACATTAACTGAACGCTAACCGTTGTAAATAAGTGTTTAACCCTAAACAGCGCTTAACCCTAGCCCTAAAATGAGTGCTTAACCCTAATCCGTAAAATGAAAGCTTAATCCTAATCAGTATAATGAGTGCTCAACTCCTCATCTGTAAAAAAATTATTTTTTTACCGATGCCTCGCGCCTCGCGTGACTCGCATGGCTCGCTGGCTCGCAGTCAGTGTCAAGACCCTTTAGCGGTTCTCAAATATTCTCTCTAACGGCTACCGCTAAAATTTATTTTCGTTTCGCCTTACCCGCCGGAATGTTATTTTCAAAGCGAAACGAAAATAGAGCCTGATCTCAGGTTATAGACGAATTGGGTATAAAATTTCCTCTCGGCTACACTTGATCCCAAGAAATACAAGGAAATGAAACTCATACAAATATCTGACCCGATGTGCGTGGAAGGTAGCTAATAAACACCGAGTCGAGATGAGCTTTTTGAGGGTATGTAGCAGAAGTGTACAAGTGATTGACGAATGTTGTGTAGAAAATTGTGAGTCTCTAATTTAACCTCGAAACATTGACTGTTTTGTTCGTTTTTGAAGGTTTGAAATTTTTGCCGCATGTCACGGGTCTTCGATCGTCTTCTAGCAAAGTGCTGTCGTCTCTGCGCATATATAGGCAGCTACATGCGCCACTCCTGACCTATCATGATCACTCACTTATGAAATCCTTTTAACTTTCTTATCCTTATCCAAAGAGAAGAAAAGAGCTCCCGAATTAAGAATGCTTTTGAAGGCTTGAAAATTTTGCCGCAAGTCACGGGTTTTCAAGCGATGCGCTGTCGTCTCTGCGCGTATTTGATATCTAAACTTACCTATTACTCACTTGCTAAATCCTTATAACTTTTTTATCCTTGTCCAAAGAGAGGAAAACAGCTCAATAGGCCATTTTACAGTTATGGATGGAAGCGAGGGAGAGGGTGACCTTGTTTTGATAGAAACCTTCTTTGCTTTGTTATGGAAATTGTTCACGAAAAATACTAGTAAGCATAAGAATAAATTGATTTACATGTTAAAGCAGGAATGTTTGTATCAAAACAAGGTCACCCTCAGCCTCGCTTCCATCCATAACTGTAAAATGGCCTATTAACAATGTCTAATGTAACTATAATTTGCAGTCTGTCTACTTTGAACAGTAAAAATTGCCGCTACATTTGCATATGGTTTAGGGAACATACTTAGAGATAAAAAATATAATAATCGCTCCCGGAGTTTTCTGGTACCTGCCAAGTGTCACACCTAAGGTGTGATTGTCACCCCTGCGGATCGAAAACTTCGATCTGACGCCTACTCACGCCTGTGTTCCGATTTGTCACGCCTGGTGGAAAAGTTTGAGCCATTACAGCGTTAACTGACACATTTTGAAAGATATATTAGTTATTTAAAGAAACCAGAACTAAAGAGAGAAAAGAAAAGTCTATGTGGATGATAGACTTTCTCTGAATTCTCTTTTTTTAGTAGGGAAGTCAATGTTCCTTTGTGTTCTCATGTTCGTGTAAGACGGAACTCTTCGTAACGTCTTCGGATATTATCGGACCTTACGAAAAATCTTGGCCGGCTCTTAAGATAAAAAATGTCACGCCTATAAATGTAAAAATGTTGGCAGATATATTATTGTTAGTTTTATTATTAATTTAAATGAGGAGACACGTACGCATTTTTGTCCCCGGAGCCGCTCTAGCCTGTGCACAGACGTTGTTTTATTTTTCTTTTCGTTCTTCTCAAAGCCATCGACGAGCGCGCGATAATGTTATCACCCGCGCTCCAATCCAAGATGGCGTCATCGATGAGATCGATGACTTCAAGTTTCGCGATTTTACCTCCAATCGTCAAGGATACAATTTTAGAATAACGCGATTTAATCTCCTATCGTCAAGGTAAGTCAGGCAAAAAAAGAGACTATTAGCTTGTTCGGAAAAAACGGCGAACTCCGAGAAAAACTAGCCTTTGCCCCGTCCTCGTATTCGAAACTACTGACTAGAAAATTAAATCCAATCAAGAGTCTCTTGATCCAATCAAGAGACTATAATCTCTTGATCCAATAGAAAACCCGCCCCCCCCCCCCCCCCCCCACAAACACCCACCACCAAAAAAAACAAAAAAAAAAAAAGAAAAAAAAAAAAAAAAAAAAAAAAAAAAAGGCAGAAAAACTGAAAAACATTTAAAATTCGGAAAAAAAAACCCAATATTTTGATCAAATTCGCAGGCGCGCCAAACAGAAGGTAAAGAGGGGGGGGAACACAGACACAAACCGAGAGAAAAAAAAACGGGCCACACCCCCTCCCAATTACGCCGGGAGGGGGGGTGTCCTGCGTTTGAAACAATGGATTATTGCTCAGAAAAATAA